TTTGCACCGAGAAGCAAACCCGTTTCTCCTTAATATACATAGTGAGTTCTACATGTCAAAGAGCCTGATGCGGACACCAGTCAGGGGACAGGAAGCAAGAGTATGCGTACGTTCCTGCAAGTTCCTGCCCAGGCCTCCTCAAACCCTCTCCCAGCTTTACCTTTCTCCTTAGGATCTGTGCCTATTGCCTGTACCATTTACTATCTGACTCCCCACTAAAATGCAAGCTCCATGAGCACAGGAATTTTGTCTGTTTTGCTCCCTGCTCTATCTCAGCAGTGGCTGGGAAACAGTTGGTGTCTTTTGTAGGATTATCCTGAAATTAGACAAAGCCTTAGGGGCCAGTGGTTTATTTAGGGGATGATCCCAGATAGCAGAAGTGAGGAATAAGAAGAGTAAGTCAAGAAGGAGGAAAAGTCAACTTAAGGGGTGGTAACAAGGTCACTGCTGCAGGCAAATGAACTTTGAGAAGTTTCTAGAAGTTTCTGAAATGGTCCATTAACAGGATGGGAAACCAGAGTTGCCATCTCCCATGTGTGGAGGCTCGTCCTCTGGGCTGTTAAGACGCTGTTCTTCCAGGCTGAACCTCTGCTGGGGCCGAGCTTTGAGGCAAAGGCGTGCAGAGGGGAGCTTGGGAAGCTGAGTGCCCGAAACTGCCCAGCCCAACTGCAGCCAGAGCCAGAGGTGGCACATGTAGCTGTGGGGACAGGCACCAAAAGCATCGGCCTTAGGAGGCACTAAGCAAATATTTTTTAGTGAATGAATGGATTCTCATTAAAGCAGATGTGCACGTGCATTACAGGGGAGTTGTGGGCCCTAGGCTCATTTTGCTTTAAAACAACCGTCAGAGTTATTAGTGCCCTCAGACCTATTAAGAAGGAAAACTTGTTACTATTGCCAAGGAATTCAGACCTCTTTTAAATTGTATTTTCCCAGAGGATTTTCTATAATGCATCCCTGCTCGGAATTCTCGTTCCTGGAAGAGAAGTGGCTACAGCTTTACTGGAAATTAAAAAGGTTCATTGCATGAGCCCTTCTTCCAGGTCCCGATAATCCTTGTCACCTTTGGCTCCTCCTTGTGACATTTCTACTCTGGCCTCTTGGCCGTTTCTTCTTTGGCGTCCCTTCTTCCACTCACACCTTTTTGCTGTCATCCCTCAGAATCTGCCTAGAAGTGGCCACCCATTCTACCTGCCCTCTTAGGTACTCTCTATGGCTCCCAGGCTGGCGGCCACCACCCACATGTCAAAGGCTCTGGTCCACGCCCCCAGGGCCCCTCTGTTCTGTGCTCCGGGCTCAAGTTCCCACTGGGCTCCTGAACCATCCACACAAACAATGAGCTCAATCCCATTGTTAGATTCATTACCTACCTCACCCCATGTCCCAACCTGCTTTTCCTCCTGAATTCCCTGCCTTGGGGGATACTCCACCAACTTGGTCTTCCAGCCTGGTACCTCAAGGTCAGCCTCAGTCACCTAGCCTCGTCCCGACCTGTTTCTTGAACACCAAGAGGTCAATAGCGGCTGTTCTTGGGTGATGGAATTTTTCTTCTTTTCTTTACTTTTCTGTATTTTCTGAATTATCTCTAATGAACACATTATTTTCATACTGCCTAGTACGTTCCATAATAATTAACAGGTTTCATGATGGTTTCTTATCCTCCTGCTCCTCTCCAGCCCCCAGACCCCCCTAACCAGTTCCTGACGTACAGTCTCTCGTCCCCGGGAACTCCTTCCAATCAGACTAGTCTTTCTAAAACCCAAACCTCATTTCTTCGCCCCCCTCATCAAAGCATTTCTCTGGGATCATCTCCCATCACCTCCCACCCCAGAGTTCCCAAATACATCAGAATCACCTGAGGGCTGTTTGTTTCCTTTTTTTTCTGCCCTCCCATTATGGTGTCAGCCCTGTTTATAACGCATCCCCAGTGTCTAGCACAAAGCAAGTGTTCAATAAACATTCAGTAAGTGGTTGGAGGGAAGGGAGTTAAGTAACTGGCTTGGGGTAGGGGAGATCTCTGTAGCAGTGGTTCTCAAAGGGTGGTCAGGGAAACACCCGCAAAGGCATCTAAGAACTTTTTTAAACGGCAAATTCTTGCGCCCCTCTTCAGGTCTATTGAATCAGAAGCTCTGGATTCTTGGAACAAGCCCTTTGGGTGATTCTGCTCTATAACAAGTTTATGTTTGCAGCCATGTCTTGGCCAAGGTCACCGATAAAACTAGTTTCTTCAACTGACCACACAAACCTTAGCGGCCCTGTGGAAAAATCACTGGAAAAAAATCAGCTGCCCTGGGGCAAAATGGTTGCCTCTAGGTTGTAGAAACATAGCCACCTTTAGGGTTTAGAAAGGGGAACGGGACCATTGACGACTCCCCGCCAAGCTACCCTATCCACCCCACCACACCAAGACACCCCTCCTACACACACACACACACACACACACACACACACACACACACACACACACACTCGCGCGCGCACAGGCGTCTCCATAGTCCCTCCATCCCGGGACCCTACAGCTGAGTACAGATCTCACAGACACACACACACACACACACACACACTCCCGGGACCCTACAGCTGAGTACAGATCCCGATTTTGAAATAAGCACTTCAAATCTTTCTCTATGAGGAAAAGAAGGGAGAGGAGTTGAGGGCCCCAGGTGGGACCGGGGATGGAGCGACCTCCAGATCCCAGGGTGGGAGCGGCCTCAGGTAGAGCTCGAACAAGCTCTGCTTTCCTTCGTGACTCTGTTTGCCGTTGGTGCAGTGGGTTTGGCAGAGCCTTTGCGGTGACGCTCATCTCAAGCACCAGCTAGCGGACTCCAACCCCAGCGGCTTAAAGGCGAAGATGCGTAGCGATCCCCACAGCGCACTCGCTCGGGGTCGCTCCGCTCCGGAGCCAGGGGCGCGACCTGGCAGGGAAGGGCGCACGCGGTCTCGGCGTCACCCCTGTCGTCCCCGGGCAGGTGGGTGACGAGGGGCGAGGTCCTGTCTCAAAGCCGAGCAGCCCAAGTGCTGGTGCACTGGGCCAGGTGTGAATGCTCGGGTACTCGAGAGGGGTGGGAGGGACGGATGCAGATTCCGGCGGGGAACGGGGACGGGGGACAGGGGGACAGGGGTCTCTTTGGGACACTCGCTGGCGCCACTTGGCGACGAGGAGCAGCGGGCGCCGCGAGCAGGCGGTAACTCGGCCCGGAAGAAAACATAACCCCTTCCCAAACTTTAATCCAAGCCAATGATGTCACCCTCATTTTACGACTGCGTGAACAGAGCCCCAGGTGTGGCCGCGGCCCTCTGACGCGGGGACACTTGCCCTTGGAATCCCGGAGACCTTCGAGGGCTTTTCAAGGGGCCGAGAAGAAAATGAAAACCCCTCCTCCCTTCCCGGACAGTGAGTGTCACTGTTCTAAAGCCCAGCAGCTGCCTGGGATGCTCAGAGAGGGGTCGACACCCTTCCACTCTCAGAATTACACTTTGCTGACACCCAGCCCTGTCTAGTGTCCCCCACCAGTTTTCTTTCCGGCCCCTCGGGTCCCCTAAGGTGACTAAACGCGGGAGCAGCTTCCCCATTCCAGAGGCGATTCTTAGGTCTCGCATCCTGCAGAGCTCGGCTCTGGAACGGGCAAGGCAGAGGGAGCAGGACAGAGTTGGGGGAGGAAGCCTCGGACAGGGACAGAGCGGGGCCTACGCCGGACATCGGCCTGGGAGGGGCTAACGCGACTCCCCTGGGCCACGGCCCCCTATCTCCCAGGAGCCACCTCAATCGGTTGTCGCCCCAGCTGCCGCCCCCTAAGCACGTGTGGCTGCTGGTCTGCGTCAGCGCGCTGGGCAAACAGATGACTGGCGGGCACCATCGGGTGGGGCTATTTAAGAGGCAGCCTCCGGCTCGCCCACCTGAACTTGGCTCAGCTCGCCGGCTGCTCTAATAGAACCGCGAAGCCATCAGCGTCCTGCTCCGCAGGTAGGTTCCCTGGCTCTCCTACGGGAATCCAAGCGCCTAGCGACCTTGAAGAACTCTGTCCACGGTTTTGTGACCCTTCTATTTTATTTTTTTCTGTTTTTCGTGTCCTCCTTCCGACAACTCGAAAGACATCTCTTGAAGTCAGAAATTTCAGGGAGGGGATGGGTGGTTGGAGCGGCTTTGTTCTCAGGCACGCAGCGCTGGAATGTCTGTTTGCTGAGATTAGAGTGCACACTGGGATTTGCTAGATGCTGCACAGAGGTTCGGCGTACTTCGCAGTCTGTTCAAATAAACTACCAAGAGGTTTTAAGACTTAAGTTCATTTTCTAAATACTGCAGAACAATTCTTTGGAGACAGGTGTTTTAACTGCTCGCAGATGTAAAACGTAGCGGAGCTTTGCCAATCACCGAGAACAGAGCCCATGTTTCTGATTTTTAAAAACCCTACTTGTGCTTTGGTTTATTGCCAATTATTGTGCATCTTGAAGAAACTTTATAGATATGATTTTTATTTATTGCTCCCACATTTTACACCGTGCTTCTCTCCTCCCTCCTCCCCCCAATTTACTTCCCTATTGAAAGCTTCTTAGCTATCTGGGGAAGTGCTCCTTTTTTACAAGAGTCTGATTTCTCCCTCGGAGTCTTCCCTTTAGATTTCCACATTATCTTTAATCTCTTGCTCTGCCAGTTAGCAGAAAAGAGACGCTCTACAAACCCTTCCTCAAACTAAAGAAAAACAGAAGAAATTCTTTCTGCCAATCAGGGCAGAAGACAGGGTCTCCGTCCGCCCCACAGGCGCCGGGTGTGGTTCACCCAAAAGATAAGCGATGTGCGCCCAGACGCGCGCCCTGTGCCCACCGGGCTCCGGTCTGCGCTTGGCGAGCCCGGGTGCTTGCACCCCGCCTGGCGAGTCTGAGGCTCCGCGGGTTTGGACTGAGCCCCCTTTTTCTGTAACCCGTGCGCCCTGACCCTCCCCGAGAGCATGCGGCTGCCCCACCTTTTCGTTCGCATCCGCTCCTCTTTGCTCTCCGCAGCCATGAATAGCGGCGTGTGCTTGTGCGTGCTGATGGCGGTGCTGGCTGCCGGCGCCCTGGCGCAGCCTGTGTCTCCCGCGGACCTCGAGGGCCCTGGGGCGCAGCGGGAGAAGGAGGCGCCCCGGAGGCAGCTGAGAGCAGTGCACAGGATGGACGGCGAGCCGCGAGCGCACCTGGGCGCGCTGCTGGCCAGATACATCCAGCAGGCCCGGAAAGGTACCGATGCCGCCTCCCCGTCCCTCCCCTCTGCCCCTGCGCGGGTCTCCCAGTCTTGACCCGGCTCTCTGGCTGAGGGTGGTGGGTAAACTCTCGAGAGGAAACAACGGCGACACTTTAAGCTGAAAGGTTTTTTTCACTTTCTTTTTTCGAGTTAAACTGCCCTTGACAGTGCCAGTTCTTGGACATCCTTTGTAGCAAACTGTGAGCGAATGTGGAGGACTTAATTTATTAGTAAGGGAAACCTTAAAAAGCTTTCTTTAAACTAATTTTTGGCACAAGGGTGCTGTTAAAGTTCAACACCAGATTATGAAGACATTAAAAGATAATTCCCAATCAAATTACAGATTCAAAAGGGTTTCACAGATCCACTAAATGCCCTCTCTTATGAATGCAAAGGAGACACCCACATACTGACGCCTGTAAACCTCTTAGCAGGAAGTGATCAATGCTGAGAATGCTTGAGATCTGACTACAACAGTTTAAAAAGAAGTGACAACGTGTTGTCTTTCGCCAAAGTACGTAACAGAAGGAAAGAATCAGTAGCAGTTTAGAGTTCTTGGCAGTGTCTTAACACAATTAGCCAACAACGGGCGCGTTTGCGATTTTGCTGTTGGCGAGATGTTCCCCACTGCAGCAGGAACTAAACGAGCCAATTTTCTCGGCATCAAAGTCTTCCTCGGGGTGTTAGGTGATCCAGCAGCGCTCTGAGTGGCCTACAGATGGCCCTGTTCCTTTCCGGGGCCTGTCTCATCTGTAAAGTGGGGAGCAGGCTCGAGTTTGGCTCCGCCCCTCCCAGCTCTTCAGAGGGAGGCTCATGTATCTCTAGGGCCCTAAGCAATCAATGGGACTGGGGCGGTTTTTTTTCTATCAACTTTATCCACAGTGACACTGATTATGAACACACTGTTTTGTGGGGCAGGGTGATAAACTTCAACACAGCTAGACAGTAAAGCCACAGCAAACATTGCTAGAAGGGGTGCGGGGAGGGCCCCTTTCCCCTGAGGCTCACTTACCTCCTGGTGCCTCCCGGGCCTGGATTCGAACCTTAACTCCTGGCTTGACTAGACGAGGAGAAAATGGAGCACTTATCTCTCCAGAGTGTTCTGTGGTTTCATGGGAAGGTGAGACCGGGACCTTTGTGAGCAAGGGATTTCAGAAGGAAGGAACAGAAGATGATTTGTCAAATGTCATCCTCTCTTTTGGCAATTATTCCAATTACCACCTCCTGTTTTACTTTCCTGCTAATTAAATTGAAAGAAGTGGAAATAAAAATATCAGTTGATAGGGGAAGTCTGAAAACTTTGGGGGTTTCTGCTGATTGTCTCTCTGAAAGTAATTTAAATATTTGTCCTTGGGTGGGGGTTGAATTTCACACAGCCAGACCAGTGTGAAAATGTATTATTTTTTATTGAGCCATGATCTGGAACCCACCCCCAACCTTCAGAAAAAATCCACAAGAAACAGTTCTGGGAAGCAAGTCAGTCATGAAACGATCTCCCCAGAACTGACACTTGACGGTGTCTTTATTCCGCAAACCTTATCTAGAAAGTTTTTCCTAGTGCTTCTCAGCCCCTTCTCCCTTTGTCTCTAGCCTGTAGTGCCCAACAAACGCAGGTGGAAATGGCAGTCATTTGGGGTTTAGGCTGCCAATGGCCAAGATCAGTGCTAGCTAGAAAACAATTATACTATTCTATTGGACAAATATGAACCAGGAGTAAATATTTATACACATAAATACTAAATAGTTTCTTTGACTATCTGACATATTTTGAGATCACATCAACTATATAATATATAGTTGATCAAAACTCTAGTATAAATTATGCTTAAAGAGTCTAAATGAGATCATGTGCTCTGTGGGCAGTGCTCAAGAGTTTGTCATTAGGAATTGTCTGCAGAGCTTTCAGTGATCTGAGGAGGAGTAATTCCACTGGGGGTGGGGGGCTTCTAGCGTACACCTGTCCTCCCCTCCCCCCGCCCACTCCCGTGCCCAGAAAAGTCCCAGGGCTACATCCGCATTGTCTCTCTTCGTTCCCACAACAGCCTTGCACACACAAGTCCTATTATCCTCCTTTTGTCAATGTGGAAGCTGGGCTTCTAGAATCGTGACTAACCTACATGAGGTTGCACATCTGGCTAGCAGCAGGGCTGAGTCTAAGTCCTGCCCTCCCCATAGGGTCTGGATGCCAGTTCAGCTTCCCAGCTGTGCTGCCCATTCTGGGTGTTAAAGTTTAAAGGGGCCAGGCCCTTCAGTTCAGTTCTGTAAATGGGTTGTAAGTCCCTACTCGGTGAGGGGAAGTGAGTGAGCAAAGACTCTTTGTGTCATGGGGAAACTGTGTAGCAAACACATCTTGAGCGGCTGAACGCAGTGCCCCCAACAACAACCCAGGCTGCTCGCTTGCATCAAAGCTGCCACTGTCCCTCTATTGGCTGGTACTCTGGGTCGCACCTCATCCTTAGAGTGGGAATTCACCATCTGCAGCAGGAGGATGGATTCGATTTCCATGTGACTGTACAGACAGCGGGGTCTGCAAGTTTTGCTGGATGCGAAGACTAATATTTCACCTGCAAGGGGTTGAACAGTTAAACAGCAGGGGCTGTTTTTCTTCTGCACAGGCTGGAGGTTCACTGCAACAGGGCTGGAATGTGCTGGGTCGACTCTTAGTTCCAGGGCTGGGAAATGATTTGTGGGCGGGGGGAGAGGAGGAAAGGGTAGGGACATGGTCCCGCATAGTTGTTTCTGGTTTTCGATCTAGCTAGATTTCTTTGACTATCTAAGACAGAGTGACTGCTTCTGCAGTGGCATCATCAGTAAACAAGGCATAGTCTGACTCCGTGGAGCCTGTGGGCAGGAGCTGGCAAAGGCAGCCTCATGCCAGTGTCACGAGCAGTGGGGGACACAGTGGCCCCTAATACCATGGGAACCACTGAGTGGCTCTCCACCACTCTACTCTTGAAGCCACCTAGGCTTTGCCCATCGAGGTCCCTGAGGGACATTTCTTGCTCCTTAGTTTGCACAAGAGATGACATTATACTGATTTCCTACCCAGGAGGTCACTGTGATCTATGGGCAAGGATTGTGTCCCATGCCTCCAAAAATACCCCCATCTCTTCATGTCCCTGCTCAATCAATGTGGAGTACACACAAGAATCATCTTGCTTCTAAGGACTTAACTCCATCCCAAAGGCCCATTTCAGCTTCAGTGATTGCATTTTGGTGAAAATGGCATAATCAAATTACCTCTTTAGTACCTCCCTGCCCAGCTTTCTTCAAGTGTTACTGAAGTGCTATGATTTTAATCTGACATTTCCCTTTTTCCTAAGAACATTTTTTTTAAAAAGAAGGTGGCTTTCAAGTAATAATTCTAAAACAGTATTTATTTAGCAATAGGACTTGATTCCAGTTTTAAACCATTCCAACATTAAAATATTGTCATCACATTGCCTTAGAGGCAGGCATACTCAGAGGTAGTAAAGGGTAAACTTTATAAATGGGTAAATGCTAGAGAAGTCCTTGGTGGGCTTCTGCGGAGGGCCAGCTACAGAAGGAGACACACTCTTGGGAGTAGGAAAACCTAGGCAGGTCCAGCTGTCAAAAGCTGGAGTCGACGAATCCACTTAAATCTTTACTGATCGCAAACCACACCCACAACTAGTAAATATTGCCCTCTCTCTGTCCAGTTACACAGACGTGGGTCCTTCTCCTCTTGTAGATTTTGGTCCAGCAATCTCACTCTTGAAAGCTCTTTGCACCTTCCATGTCGTCTGGCTTTTCCCATAATGTTCTCCTTTACAAAAGGAACTAGCGATGCTCTAGATGTAATAGCTCTGTTTCCTTCCTCCTTGCCCCTTGTAGCTCCTTCCGGCCGAATGTCGGTGATTAAGAACCTGCAGGGCCTGGACCCCAGCCACAGGATAAGCGACCGGGACTACATGGGCTGGATGGACTTCGGCCGGCGCAGCGCGGAGGAGTACGAGTACCCCTCGTAGGGCCGCCGGCCAGCTCTGCGCCCCAGGACCACCCTCCCGACTCAGAGAAGGCAGAATAACAAAATAATCACACTCATAACTCATCGTCTCTGAAGTTTGGCATTTTAAGCGTCTATTTATTAAGTTCTCAATGTGAAAAGTCTGTAAGATTTTTCTGGCGCAGCCACGCAACTCAGCAGAATTGTACAAGTGGAAGACAAAATGTGTCCCTTGTCTGTGACTCCTGGTCCTAAAGTGTTGCTATGCTATTAAAGTGATTTCATTCTGCGCCATTGTCCTCTGTGTCACCCGAGGGCAAAGGGCCCCAGTCAGTCCTCAGAAGGTTCGAGGAGGGAATCCCAGCTGTAGATGGTCCCAGACAGGGCTTGAGAAATGAGAGTGGGGCGTAGAGCTGACTTCTGTGCTGCCGGTGAGGTGGCCGGTGGCAGGGCCTTCTGTGTCAGCTCCGTGGTCCAGCCCTGACCACCTTGGGCCCTGGGCCTTAGCTGGGAGTCATTGCAAAAAGAGAACTCGCATTTCTTGGAGTGAGTGCCCATTTGTCGGGGTGAAGCCTAGAGTTGGCGGCTTGGAATGGAGCCACGGTAGCATGCGTGGCAATTTGTGGTGGCTTTGAGCGGACCTGACGGAGCTTACTGGGCCTAAAGGCCTGTTCCCCTAACCCTTTCAATGCCACCACTGAATCCCGGCGGGTCCCGTTCTTATCTCTGTGCCCCCTGCTGACACAGGGGCCCGGGAACCAGGACATATAACCCGGCTCTTTCTCAGCCCTTCCTGAAGAAGCAGGACAGGCTTCTGCAGCCAAGCTGAGCACGTCTCGCAGAAGAGCCAGCAGCTCCCCAAACTCTGCTTTAACGAGGCCTGAGGAACTCATGCGCGATCCCAAGGCCACGATTCCCCCTCACTCCTTCCACCCCATGTACTCCTCTCCACCCCGCTCCTTTGCCAGCAGCTCTTCCTACATCTCACCAGCTTGCAGGACCTGCACCCTAGGCCATGCCCTCCTGCGGCAGTTCTGGCCGTTTGCTCCCTCGGCTCTGCTAATTACGACTGTTCTATAGGTTCTTTGTTGTTCATGCATAGGAATTTACAAGTTGAAAGGGGCAACAGCTGTCATTCTGGCCCAACACACACCCTTACCATACCCCCACTCCCATTTTATAGCTAATAAACTTGCCCCAGACCACATAGTGAATTAGTGATGGAACCTGCAGCCCTTTCCGGAATTCACTCCTTGCCAGGCTGAGACATAACCAACTTACCTGGTGGTCTGGCTTAAGAGGTCTGGCCTGCCCTGACCTATGACTACTCAAGTCTCAACATGGGCAGTAGCCAGAGGGTAGACAGAATGCACTTTCTCTGTATTTGCTTTACCAAAACCTGACCACAATATATCTCTCCTGTAAAATGAGGAAATCTTTGCACAATGCACCCCAACCTTATTTCTCAGGTTCAACCAATCATAGGTAAAAAGAAAGGGAGGGTGGAAAAAAGGTATTCCACGTTCATTCTTTTAACAAACAACACAAAACACCATCCTTTTTTCTTAGCTCAAGTTTGAAGAGCCAAAGCAAAGGATCTTGACAGCTTAGCTAGATCTTTAGGTACCTTGAGTATTTGTTTCTCAGCATCTTCAAATTATTGCTAGTCCTGAAGATGAATAAATCAGAAGTCAAGACGATTCCTCACTAATTTCCCCTGGGCTCTGGGTTCTGAAAGGATTTATAAAATTGATCTGTTGGTGTCTGCCTCCTCCCGCTCTGAGTTGTGTCCTCCTGGAGAACCAGGATCAGGGAGTCCCAGACGACGGAGTGCCTGCCCAGATTCCCTACCATACCCGAGGCTCTCATGGACCGACGTCCCCCCAGACAGCCTCGTCATCACGCCCACCTCTCTGACCTCCTCCCTTACAGCCATCCCCCCCGCCATTCAGTCATTACATTCCAGTCTCACTGCCTCCCTTGCTGTTCCTTGAAAACACTAAAATCAGTCCTACCTCAGGGCCTTTGCACCTGCTGCTCCCTCTGCCTTCCTCCAAAAAGCATGACTGGACCTCTTGGCTCATTTAATGCCAACATTACCTGCTCAGAAACCATCCTATCTTCTCTAACAAAGCTCCTCTATTGTTCTTTATCCTTTTCTCTGATTTACCTTTCTTCTCAGGCTTATCATCACTTGGAATTATATTATTTATCTATCGATTTATTGGTTCTGTCTCACCCATGAGGATGTCAGCTCTGTGAGGGCAGAGATTTTTGTCTGTTTTGTTTATTGCTATATTTCTAACACTTAACTCAGTATCTGGCACATAGTAGATACTCAGAAAATACTTGTTAATTAATTAATCAATTAATAAGGGGTAAATATGGCTAGATCCCTGCTATTCAGGTTACAGATTGGTTTTAGAAGCAGTTTGGTCAGACGATTTCTTTTAAAAATCAGAGAGGTAAAGCAGGCTCGTGACACAGCCATGTCCTTCCAAGATAGGCGTAAGGGCGAGAAATTGGAAAGCAGACCACACACACACACACACACACACACACACACACACACACACACACACAATAGCTGACAGCATGTATGACATCCATGGAGAATGACAGTATACTTTAAACTACATCTCACTCTCCAGACACACACACACACACACACACACACACACACACACACACGTCCAGCCGTATTTCTTTTGCTACAGTTAAAATCCAGGAAGAATAAAGCAATAGCAAAGGAGAAAGGAGAGTTGATGGATTTCATTGCATTTACTCAGAATATCAGAGAAACGGTTCACAGTGAGGAGTTGTTAAAGAAACGAACGAACATCCAGTTGGTGGACTAGTCAGCAGTTATTTAATGGGTATGAGGACGACGGAGGAACATGGGAAATGACCATGATCCATGTAAAGTGAAATTGTCCTCTGATTACATTAAGTTTATTTACTTTTAATGAGATTATGTGAAAACGAAGACAGTCATGTTAGGGTCATAAGATCACAGATATTTTTCTTCCTCTTCTCTGAACTTCCTATACTATTTGTAGATCATCCTTTTTTTTTTTTTAGATCATCCTTATAACAACTATAGCTCACGTTCTCCAGAGTCTGCCAGTCTACAGAGAGACACGGAGTCGTAAGAAAAGCCATAAAACTAGTTCTTCTACTTTCTTTACCAAAGAAACACTCCCAATTATCCCCAGATGATTTCGACAGTCACTAAAGCTTGTCACCTATATGGCCAACCACAGTGTCCATTATTTTGCCTTCCTTGGTTCCTTCTTGCTAAGGCCATGAAAATCCCTGAAGATGCCACCTCTGCTTGTGGAGATAACAGTATTCTAGCTGCTGTGCCTACCCCCAGGTCCAGGCCCGGTGTCTTCTGGTAGCTTCTGTTCCTCAGTGTGGGAGTCTGGGCCACACTACTGTCATTTTGTTCTCACTGGCTCTCAACAGCTCTCTGTATGGCCTGGTTGCCATGGGAACCTCTCTAATAAGCAGTTATCATCAAAGACACCAGTTGCCCCAAACAGGTGGCTGTACTGCCTTCCTTGGTTATGGAAGTCCTTTATTCTGCTCACAAGTTTCCAGAAACATCACTGGCTTCTGAAAGGCAGCTTTGTATATTTGAAGTCTCTGCATTTACTTTGTAAATTGAAAATGGTAGTTCGAGTCACGTGGGTGGTCCATTATTTACACCCGGTGGTTACTTTACATTCAGTAGGGTAGGGATGATGCACAGGGGCCACTAGTTCAGCATCACCCTTCTGTCTGAAGAATTTAATTTACGGCAAGTCTGCTGCTATGAATTCTCTTAGTTTTTCTTCATTTGAGAAAGCCTTTACTTCCCCTTCATCCTCAAAGGATATTTTCACTAATTTTAGAATTCTAGGTTAAGTTTTTTTCTTTTGTACTTTAAAAATACTGTACCACTTCCCATGGCCTCCATGGTTTCTGAGGAGAAATCTGCAGTCATTTAAATCATTGTTTCCCTTTAGAGAAGAAGTCATTTTTCTCTGACTGCTTTCAAGGTATTTTCTTTGTCTTTAGCTTTCAGTAGTTTGATTATAACGTGTTTGGGTGTGGATTTCTTTGAATGTATCCTGCTTGGGGTCTGTTCAGCTTCTCGAATGTGTAAGTTTATATCTTTCATCAAACTCAGGAAATTTTTAGTTATTATTTCTTCAAAATGTTTTCAGCATCACTCTCGTTCTTCTCTCCTTCTGGAATTCCGATGACACAAATGTTAGACCTTCTGTTGTTGTCACCCATGTCCCAGAGGCTTTGTTTACTTTTTTCTCTGTGTGCTTTACAATGGATAATTTCTATTTCTCTACCTTCTAGTTCGCTGACTCTTTCTCTGCCATTTCCATTCTGCTAATGAGTCCATATAGTGAGTTTCTTAGTGTGGTTTTTGAATTCTTCAGTTCTAAAATTACCTTTTGTACCTTCTATTTCTTTGCTGAGATTTTCTATTTTAACATTTCTTTCAGAGATGTGTGCAATTGCTTGTTTTTGAGCACTTGTATCATAGCTGCTGTAAAGTCTTCGATAATTCCAAAATCTGTGAAATCTCATCATTAATAACTGTTGATGGTCTTTCCAAGGAAAATTTAAAACTTCATGGTTCTTTGTATGCTCCGTAATTTGGGATAGTATCCTGGAGAATTTGAATATTACATTATGAGACTCTGGGTCTTGTTTAAATCTTATGAAAAAAATGTTAATATTTTTGTTTTAGTGATCAATCTGGTTAGGTTCAGTCTGCAAGTTCCAACCACCTTCCATGGGCTGTGGTTCCAATGACAGTTCAGTTTTCAAAGTTATACTGCTCTTTAATTCCATGTCAGGTGTGTGCCACCCAGCGACGAGTCTGGGTGGCGATCTGTGCATTACTTCAGCTCTCAAAGTCCTTGGTCTGCTAATTAGGACCCGATCCAGACATGGCACAACTGGATGAGCTCCAAAGTCACTTTCCTGAGCTCCTCCCTCTCTGCAATCGCCCTAGTA